TCCATAGGATCAAAGCAGTTCAAAAACTTTGACATGCTATTTTTGTAAAGAGTTTTTAAAAGGAGATTTGCATCTTATTTGTGCTAGGTAATTTAAAAGTATTGCCTTAACTATAAGCTTCCCCCTTCTCCTTTGTGTTTATTAGCTATCAGTGAGAGATTGTGGGCAGAATGGGAGAAGAGTGTCCTTAACCTATATAACATCCCTAAAGTGTTGCTGTATTTTTGTTCCCACCTGGAAAGGCAATCTATTGCTGATAAAATTGTAGTATACGTCTGCGTCCGTTGAAAATTTGATTTATCAGTACTGAAATCTACTTTTATTTTAGAACGGTGAAAGTATACTTTTTGTATTGTCGAAGGCATTCATGGCTGGAATCACTGGGTTGCTGTGAGGTTTTATTGGCTGTATGGCATTGGCTGTGTGCAGTAGCATTCTCCCCTGACATTTCACATATATCTGTGGCTGGCATCTTCAGATATTCTTCCTATACTTTTTGTTTAGGAAGAAGCAAAACATGTATCCTTGATTTTCTCCTTTAAGAAATTAATTCCATTTTATGCAACCCCAAAGACAGACATTTCTTCATTTTCCTTCCATGAAAGAGAAAATATTATTTTACCTGTTCATTACTTGATATGGCAAGTCAGTTCCCACCCAAGTAATACCTATCTTACGTGTCTCTTCACAGAGCAAGAAGCTGCATGTGGTCTCCACTCAAAATGTTGTTTTAACAGGAGAGGTGATCAAGGCAGAAAACAAGAAGCAAAGAGATTATCAGAGCCTTTCCCTTCTTACTTCAGAGTTTTATGCTCTGTTCTATTCTGAGATCTGCTCAGTGGGAGAAATGCTGTCAGTTTTAGATTTTTGTAACAACAAGCCTCCTCTGCGGAGGAAATGAAGATCTCTGACAAGTTAGACACCGAGGCTGCTAATTATGGTTGTTCTTTTTAAGGTGTACATGAAACTTGAAGCATGTGGCAAAATCAGGTTCTTTATTCCAAGAAGTTTACAAGGGCCCAATCCTGAACACACATGTAACCACATCAGACTACATATTAACCAGGAATAAAAATATTTCTAAACGAGAGAGAGAGAGAGAGAGAGAGAGCTCTGCATAATGTATTCATCTCTAAGAACTTGTTTAATATTGCCAAAACATTATCTTTTTAATTGGTTGTGCACAAAGAAAAACACAGATGTTATTCTTTAAAGATAGGCTAGCAGTGAGTATTGTGTACATGATTTGATTTGTGTGTTAAGTTTGTCAAGAGAGACGATACATTGATTTCAGTCTTAGTCTGAAAACAATTAGTATACAGGCAACTCTGCCTGTCTTAGCAGTGGTACACCTAACCCCATGAAGAATCCCTATTCTCATGTTGATCTAGTTGTGGTGATGCTGCTAGAGTTTCTGTGGTGGTGGATTCATGTAGTGTTAAACTTTTATGAAGGGAAAGTAGTCACAAGGCCAAATCCATCCCCTTTATATGAGTTTTTGGCATGATACTACAGAATATAACCTTACAATCATCTGATAAAGAATTACTGCAAATCAAAAAGCATTCATTTAGTTGCTCTGGTGTCTAGAGATCTGGACTACAGTATGGAAGACTGGTAATTAACTGTCTTTTAGTCTTACTTTCAAATATGTAAAACAACTTAGATCAAAAAGGCTATGTTAGATACATTTGAGGGCTTACATACATCTATCAAAAAAGGTGTTCAGTTATCATAAATGGTTGGAAGTGCATGTTCATAAAGCAAATCCCAAATAGCAGAACAAACAGAAGTGCTCACAACTGTTAGAGACCACGAAAATTCAAACAATGTGTTTGTTATGATTGAAACATATAACTGACATTTTATTAATTCTTTTCTGTTACAATTAATTTCAGTAATTTCTTCCTGTTACAACTAACAATTACTTACAAACTGATGACTCTTCCTCATTTGTTTTATTGCTAGCAATTATCTATTCAGAATTTAATTGGCATCTCTGGGTGCAATTTTTGTTTGCTTGTTTGTTTATTTGGACTGCTTTCTCCCAACTCTTATCCTAGCCAATTGAGGATTCCATTTTTGCTGTGATGACAGCACAATGCAAAACGCCATGAAGTTAAATGGCACTATTTGGCAATGGCTTGAAGTTAATTCAGAATGGAAAAAAATTATGCTGCCTTCAAGTCTGTGAATGATTGAACACCGTTGGCCTGTTTTCAGATTCCTCCCCCTAATAATTGTTAAGAAATTGGAGACAGCTTTAAGAATAAAATCCCACTCTTTCAGTCCCCTTCCCATTCTGCTGTAATAAATCCATCTCCCCAACTGCTCTTAAGAAATATGGCAGTGGATAAATGGCAATCCAGAAATGGGAAGTAATTCAGATTACACCTACATATTCATGAATCTGACTTCTTTTTGTTACTTAATTACCAGGAAGCCAATGACTCAGCATGTAAATAGGCAGCAGTTATCTGTCAATCCTATTTCTCTTCTATTCTCATATTAATTCAGAAACAACTGGTCCATAGCTAGCCTCAAGCATTTTCCTACGTGAGGTAAAGATACTTCATAACCTGAGATTACTTCGTATCGTATCTCTGTAGGGGCATAGTTGATTTTAAAATAACTTTTTATTTCAGATCAATTGCTACAGCAAACATAGCCCATTCTCCTATATTACCAAGGAAACTGGAAATTATTGTTTCCATTTGATGTTTGATTTTTTTTGTCTCATAACAGGCTGTGATTTTTATTTATTGTTAGTTTGCCAAGTTATAATGCGTATTTATACGTTGGGTTGTATATATTTTTTTTAGTATGGATGTATTGTTGTTGTATTCAGGCCTTTTATGTCTGGAATCCGCCTGGAGTCCCTTTGGGGAGATAGAGCAGAATATAAATAAAGTTTTATTATTATCAATGCTAATCAAGGTGACCAATTGCAACATTCACACTTGCCTCAAGCAGACAAGAGTTCTTTCTCCTACCCTGGACATTCCATAGATATATAAACCTCACTTGCCTAGTTTCCAACAGACCTCTCAACCTCTGAGGATGCCTGCCATAGATGTGGGTGAAACGTTAAGAAAGAATGCTTCTGGAACATGGCCATACAACCTGGAAAACTCACAGCAAACCAAATCAGGATTTTTTATACGAACGATAAACCTTAGTTTGGAATCTTGGCTTGGTAATGTTTTTGGATGATTGTGTGTTTTTAGCGAAGATGTAACCTGCCAAGAAGAGATAAAATTGTTGTTGTTGTTGTTGTTGTTGTTTTTGTTAGAGAATGTGTTTCAGTTCTTAATAATGTGTGTTGGATTGATACCAAGAAATAGCTGTAACTGGCAAATATGAATTGGTGTATCAGAAATTAGCCAATGGTATTTCAACTACAATCTACATTTGCCTGCCTATGTTGTGGAATGAATTATAGTAGTAAGTCTAGAGTCTCATACTTGGGAGCTTGTTGTTGTTGTTCATTCATTCAGTCGTTTCTGACTCTTCGTGACCAGCCCACGCCAGAGCTCCCTGCCGATCGTCACCACCCCCAGCTCCTTCAAGGTCAATCCAGTCACTTCAAGGATGCCATCCAACCATCTTGCCTTGGTCGGCCACTCTTCCTTTTTCCTTCCATTTTCCCTAGCATAACTGTCTTCTCTAAGCTTTCCTTTCTTCTCATGTTGTGGCCAAAGTACTTCATCTTTGCTTTTACTATCCTTCCCTCCAATGAGCAGTCGGGCTTTATTTCCTGAAGTATGGACTGGTTGGATCTTCTCGCAGTCCAAGGTACTCTCAGAACTTTCCTCCAACACCACAGTTCAAAAGCATCTATCTTCCTTCGCTCAGCCTTCCCTATGGTCCAGCTCTCACATCCGTAGGTGACTATGGGGAATACCATTGCTTTAACTATGCGGATCTTCATTGCCAGTGTGATGTCTCTACTCTTCACTATTTTATCAAGATTGGTCATTGCTCTCCTCCCAAGAAGTAAGCGTCTCCTGATTTCCTGGTTGCAGTCTGCATCTGCAGTAATCTTTGCGCCTAGAAATACAAAGTCTGTCACTGCCTCCACTTTTTCTCCCTCTATTTCCCAGTTATCAATCATTCTTGTTGCCATAATCTTGGTTTTTTTTTATGTTTAGCTGCAACCCAGCTTTTGCGCTTTCTTCTTTCACCTTGATTAGAATGCTCCTCAGCTCCTCCTCGCTTTCGGCCATCAAAGTGGTATCATCTGCATATCTAAGGTTGTTAATGTTTCTTCCAGCCATTTTTACCCCAGGCTTGCATTCATCAAGCCCCGCACATGGCATGATGTGTTCCACATACAAGTTGAATAGGTTGCGTGAGAGTATACAACCTTGACATACTTGGGAGCAGGTCCCATTAAATACTCTAGGAAAAAGATCAGCGTAGACATGAGTACCAGTGTACTGGAAGATGCAACATAATATTATGGGTTCAGGAATGAATGTAATAAGAACATAATGAAACCTGAACTAGATGAAGGATGGGAAGAGGAATGCCTATTCCAACACCAGAAGAGGGCAGCAGCGTGGCAGGTGTTTGTTTTGCTCACTTCACTTGTTCCTTTAGCTGTAAGTGGAATAGACTTGTATTGTCAGCTTTTAAGGTTGCATTTAAACACTTTCTTGCATCTATTACCATGAACATGATTAATGTGCCTGTATGCATTATTGATTTGCATTGCTTTATCTATATAAAGATTCTCTGTTAATTGTGCTAAGTAAATTAAATCATTACATGGTGACGTTCACTTGCATAGCAATCTGGTTTTATATGTGTAAGTTCAATTGATTTCCAAAGACTGAAGTGCTGGTAACTCTTGGACAAAAGTATATTCCCAGTAGTAAGTTTTAGCATCTTGACTTAATGGTAAAATAAAATGCATTGTGTGCTTTTCATACAAGATGAATTATTTGTCCAAGTTGAAATTTGGAGGTAATCCATTCTGCAATTTTTCTCTCATGCAGGTGCAGTTTTTTTGTAAAGTCCCGGCTAGGAGTTGTTCCTGTGAGATGAAGCAGGTTGAAGATATTGCCTGGCCTTTGTTGGATGAACAAAATGAAAGCCTTTGCGTCACCTGGCACTCTTCTTGGCCTCCTGTGAAAAAATTGGGTGAGTCTTCTATTTCTATCAGTGTTTAAAAGCACTAAAGCAATTCAAGAGACAAATCCAGTGGTAGACCTATGTAGCTAGAATGAGACATGTCAGCAAGGACCTGATATTTTGCTTAATTTCAATAATTTTCTTCTACTCATCAAATTTGGAAGAAGATTGAGTTGTGGGGAGAAGCTGCAGGAATTTTGGAGCTCCTTGATGAAACTTCATTTCTGATGTGAAAATGTGTATTTCTTGGATTTAAACAAAAAAAATATAACTTTTCTGTAAAAAAAAAGACCTTGTCCTTTTTGTGCATAACAATGTTGTGTTTTACAGTAATGCATTTTTCTTTTTGGCAAAAATCATGAAATATAAAAAAAATGTCACCATGGTCAACAATTTCCTCAAGGGATTTTCTCAGGCATCAGGATGAGAACAAAAATACTTACAAGTATTCTTTGCATCTTCTACTTTGTTATTCACAGTTAACGTTGATGTCAATAATTTCAATGGCTCTCCTTTAAGTGGGGCACATATTGGATTTAGCCTTATGTTTAAACATAAGTAAATAGGAGAAAAGGGTTTCCCCCCTTTTAATATTTTTATTTAGATAATGTATATTATTATTATTATTATTATTATTATTATTATTATTATTATTATTAACTTTATTTGTACCCCGCTAGCATCTCCCGAAGGACTCGATGCGGCTTACACGGGCCGAAGCCTCAAAATATATTGCCTTTCTTCCTATATAGGACCCAAACTAGCTCACAGTAAAGTTAAAATAAGATAAAAATTAAACCAAGATATTAAAAAATGAAATTAAATAAACTAAAATACCACCATAAAGGCAGTCAAAAACATAACCCAAATTTTGGAAGTATAACATATACACAAACCCATTAAAAGAGCTTTCTGTACAGTCAGCCTATTTAAATAAAAAATAAGTCTTTACCTGCTGGCAGAAGGAGAGCAAAGAAAAAGCAGCTTATCTTTTTATGAAGGGAATTCCATAAACTAGGAGAAGACAATCAGACAGGTCTTTGATAGTGGTCAATGGCAACCAAGATACAATCCTGAGATTTCAGGGGAAGTGCAACTTATTGTCTGAATCCGCCTGAATCCCATTCCTCTGATCTACTTTTCCAATGAGCAGTAACACTTCTGCCTTGTTTGGATAAGTTTCATTTTTCACTCTCATCCTGTCAATTATTGACAGCAGAGTTTTGGTTTAGTACTATAATAACTACCTTAGAGTTAGGTGGAAAGATAAGATGGTATTTGATGGTATTAACATGCTGATGCCATTGAACCCAAAACCTCTAGATAATCTCTGCCAGCAGTTCCATATGTAAGAGCACAAAGGGTTGAAGAGCGTGGGGGCAGAACACAGCCCCAGGGGACATCATTTACCAGGGGAATCCCCCAGCACCACTCTCTTGAGTTCACTCTTTTAGGGAAGGACCATAACCAGTTTAGAACAGCACTCACATAAGAAAACTGTGGTCATGGTTAAAAATAAACATATATGGGAACATGTAGTGGGAGGATGGGGCGTGGGCGGGGGGGGGGGAGAAAAATAAAAAATGTAATGAGAAGAAATACGTTTGTGAAGAAGGTGAATAGATAACATATAAATATTTCAATATCTAGAATGTAATGCATACACACAATAGTTGTTAATTATCTATTCACAGATTGTGTTACTATGTATTCAGTAAAATAATAATAATAATAATAATAATAATAATAATAATAATGCACTCACAATTTCTATCCCAGAGAAGTGGCAGAGAAGAATACCACAATCAATGGAACTGACAACCACTGAGAAGTCCAGCTAAATCAACATGAGCACGCCCCCTGTCAAGAGTCTAGCTTAGATCATCCACCATGGCAACTAAATTAGTCTACATCCTATAACCAAGTCTGATTGAAATGGCTCTAGATAAAGCACTTTATCTAGAACCCTGCATCTGATAGGTCATCACACACTTTAGAACTTTGTCCAAGAGAAGGATATAGAAGACCAGCTAATAATGCCCTCTGTGATGGGATTCGCAGACCTACATAATCCCAGTCAGAGCACATGCAAATGAGTTTGTCTGCAAATCAAATTATTCAAAGTCAACTGGTCTACATTCTCTTTGTGTGGGGTAGTTTGTAGAAAGATCATAAGCAGTCAGTGTATCCCACTAGGCAGTATTACTGACAGACAAGTATGATTTTGCCTTCACCAATGTCATAACAGATTTTCCAGTGGACTTTTATTTGGTTATACGGTTCTAGGCAGGCATGTACCCCCCCCCCCCCCAAATTCCAATGTTGGTCTGCGAGAAAGCCTTACTGGTACATTATTTAAACTGTTATGTTTATTCATATCATGATCTGAGCACCTTGCTCAATATATCCCATATGCATGTGGGTATTGGGGTAACGATACAAAAGGTTTGCTAGGATAGACCCTCTTTCACTCAGACTCAGCCCCCCCCCCCCCCCCCCCCCCCCGAAACAAAATCTTGGCTACAGGCCTGGTTCTAGGTTTTCCGTTAGCGATGCTCAGGTCTTCATTTCACTTGTTTCATCACTGTTAATTCCTAATAAACCAGGAAACTCAATTGGACCCACCCTTTGAGAGAAGTTCTCAAGAGCTGTTAGGTCTGCTGTCCAGGCCATTGCTCTATTCCAAAAAGTAGTAAGGGTTTCAACAGGATCACCTGCCAAGTTAACAAGAAACCTCTCTATAAGTTATCAGGAATCCACCAGAATGCATCAGCTTTTGGGATGGACCATCCTAGTGAGCCACCCAGCCCCTCAGAGGCTCTGAGTCCCAGTGAATCTAAACCCTAACTGATAGTGATCTATCCATGACAACAGAGCTATGGAAAGTTCATATACACTCAGATTAGCAGCACAGAAAATGAATTCTAGAGTGTGACTGCAACATGGGTATACTTCATTGGAAGATTTGGTCTTATCATGGGAGGCATGGAGTCCTAAGCTGGTTCCAACAAAGTGATTCAGTATGAGTATTGAAATCCCCCAATATAGTGAGATGATGTGATTGCAGCACCATTGCTGAAACCCCTGGCTCATTCACACTGCAGAAATACAGCACTATTATTCTACTTTTATTGCCATGATTTCATCCTATAGAATCCAGGAGTTTGTAGTTTGATGAGGCTAGAATTTTTAAATGCCTCTGCCAATACTGGTTTCCATAGGATGAAACCTTGATAGTTAAAGTAAAATAATACCAGTATAACTTTGCAGTATGAATGGGCTCTAGTTCCACCAGCTCTGGAGGTTGCATTTTTAATAACAGTTAAAGCCCAATAATATGTGAATATTGTGTTTGAAATTTTACTTTTAGCTGAGCTTGGATATGTAGCAGAGGTCTTTTGGTTTCTTTGCTTTCCTTCATTCTGCTTCAGAATTGTATTAGAGATGTCAGCATTTTTCTTAGCTCAGAGGTAAGTTCAAGGCTCTCATTCTTGGACTGTAATGATGCTCTCTTGCATGGATGGAAGATTTATGCATATAATTCCCATTAGTGTTAATAACTATTATAGCTTTCCATGTTGATCTCCTCCCTAGTGATGTCCTTATGCCTCTTTAAATTTGAGGTATAGGGCTTCAGCTCTTATTTATCCTCATGAATTAGACTTGCACACCATGGAAAGTCATTACCTTCTGAGAAGTCCTGTTTGTTTCTTTAGTTCTTCCACTGAAGAATAATATTCATATGTGGGAGAATGGAATAAAGATGCTTTTCCCCCTTTCTTTCTTTTACATACTTAAAGGACCAATGAGCAACCTCCACTCACATTGTAATTTAACACAGCACAGCTAGTGCAGGTCTCTTCAGAACAACAACAAATAAAATGCTTTGCTTTAAAGGTAAAATTTCAAATTCTGGTCTTGAATATTTGTGGCAGTACTTCTGCCTGCATATTCAATATACAACATAGTTTATAGTGAATTGCAACCACAAAGGTTTATATTTGATTTCTTGGATCTTTGCAGCCTTGAGAATTCTCTGCATTCAATGGGGATATAAATATATTGCTCAATAAATAAATAAATTCATACTTTAACATTTCTGATTTATACAGGTAAGACACTTGAATGCTCAGGGAAATCTCTAAAAGGTTACCAGTGGATAACAGGCATCACTGCTCTCCATCCACCTGAAGGAAAGAATGTACAGGAATCGGCTAAAGTGATATTTTCGTCACTCCAAGGTAGTTTATTATATATTTTAAAATGCTGTATAATATATAGAATAGACGGGTTTTAATTAGAGCTGCTTTGTATAGTCAGTTCTCAGTGTAATTAAAGGCCTGAAAGTCAATTTAAAAAGCACTTTTTAAGGAATGGCAAAGTATGAGAAAATAATCTCAAGAAATATATACTCGAGTATAAGCTGAGTTTTTCAGTACATTTAAATGCTGAAAAAGCCCCCCTCCACTTATACTTGAGTGAAGGTCCACAATCCTAATCGCTCTATATGTTTTTGCGCTGGCAAAATCCTCAAACTAGACCTTTACCAGGCGAGACCGAGAGGCGAGACGGAAAGGGGGCAAGGGGAGGAGAAGGCAATTTGCAAGGGAGACCTGGAGAGGCAAAGCAGCAGCAGCAGCCCCCCTCCCCCACCAATGCCGTTTGCAAACTGGGCCCCCTCCACTTCCACACTAGATTTTCTTCCCTTCTCCTATGTGCTTCTCCTTCTCCAGCTGGGAAGACTTTGCAAGATGTCACTGGGGTCTCCCCAAAAGCCTCTTGCAAAGCCAGGATGGGAAGGACAAGGTACAAGGGGAGAAGGAGGCAACTTGCAAGGCAGACCCGGAGAGGCGAAGTATCAGCAGCCTCCAATGCTGTTTGCTACCCGGGCTCCCTCCGCTTCCTTTCTCAAGTTCCAGCACCATTTGAACTCCCTGCCCCTTCCTGGCTATTATTGAATCCTAAAGTTGGAAGACACTCCCAAGGGCTGCCCTCCAGTGCAACTCACTTCTGCCAGGTAGGAACACACATTCAAAGCCCTCCTGGCAGATGGCTATTCAGCTTTAACCCTGTGATTCTATAAATAGCAAGAGACCCCATGGGCTTCTTCAATCGCTGATGCTCTGTTTGGACATACAGATGAGGAGGAGGAATCCAGTTTTGAAGGATTTTAACTCTTGTGTTTTAGCTTGGTTGCTGAGGTTTTTGTACTTTTAAAGTTATTATGATACCATATTGTTTTCATTGACCCTTTTTTCCACTTACAGAATTAGTTTACTGTTTTTCTTTGAAATAAATATTCAAAAATATTTAACCTACTGATGCCTCAGTTAACGTAATTGTATTAATATCTATTGCAGTCTGAGCTCTGCCACATGCACAATGGAGGACCTCCTTATAAGAACCAAGAGGCCCTCCAAGTGGCCAACTACCGGTCAAGGGACATTTAATATAATGCCAAGTTTTTAAACTTTGTGTTTTTAAATACATCACAACTGTACCCTTGGTTTGCTCCTGATACGATAAATAAATTCCCTTCTCCTGTGTACTTCTCCTTCTCCAGCTGGGAAAACTTTGCAAGATGTCACTGGGGTCTCCCCCAAAGCCTCTTGCAAAGCCAGGGCAGGAAGGGCAAGGTACAAGGTATTTCTTTTGAAATTTATCAGTAGCTGCTGCATTTCCCACACTAGTCTTATACTCAAGTCAATAGATTTTTCCAATTTTTGTGGTAAAATTGGGTACCTTGGCTTATATTCAGGTCAGCATATACTCGAGTATATACAGTAATCTGAATAATCTGGACCAACCACTTCTAAACAAACTGTGTCCAGACAATCGGCAACTTTCCATCACTCCCAGCTGTCAGAAAGTATTTCTCAGAGAAAGTAGGCCAAGAAACATATGTAGCCTATCAGAGTTTGTAATAAAGTTCCCTTTTTATCATAGGTTATACTGGGAAAGCTTTTTTGGAGTTGGTATCCAACAACATGTCCCCAACTCCTGTTCAAGGAAGCCATCATACCCAGCATACCAATTTACTCCCCTTCCTGGGCATACCATGGCCACTTCTTTGTTCTCCTACAGACCCTTCCAATTCTATAATACTGTTCTGTTCTGGGAGGTTTCATACATTTGTATGCTAGCTTCTATTTTACTGATTCCTCAAGAATTAGACAGAATAGAAGGAGCATGCAATGATGTATATAGCTAAATGTGTGACTACCTCCCGCCCTTATGAATTGAAAGCTACTCTAGCTTTTATAAAATTAATTATTTCAAATTCAAATTTGAATTATGGTGGTCGTGGTGGTCTTATATTCATTTATGTTCTGCCTTTTCCTCAAAGTGGGAAATTGCTCTTTCCTGGGATCTACTGACAGTCTTCATCAGTGCAAGGAGACAAGTTGATCCTTGCCAAGCAATCACAGGATAGAATCTAATAAACCTTACAGCAACATCTTTCAAATGTTAAACATAGGATTATCAATCAGATCCTAAAAGATATCATTGTTTATATGGGAGTGAGTTTTAAAGCTTTTGTAATTAGTCTAAAATCTTTCTCCTTTCTTCACTTTGTTATTTATGTAAGTCTGGCGCTTGTTCTCTGCCTTTATCTTTCTCTGTATGCACTCCCTGTTGTGTATGCTTTCTGTTAGCTAAACTGCCTTTATCACCATAATTTTAAATTAAGTTCTTTCAAAAGCTGTTGCTGTGGTACATTTTGGCGTCTAGGATTAGGTCAGTGGCTCTAAATCTCATTTATGTACTTAATGCAAGGAAAGAATTGCTGCCTTGGGAATTGCAGTAGCTGGATTTCTCACTATCAAACCCTCACAAGATATTGACATATAAAACAAAATGCTTCCATTTTGTTCTGCATCTTTCCTCATTTTTACACTTTTAAATAAAGAAATGTTTATGCAGGCATCTTTTTCATTCATAAAAATGGAAATTACTCTCTGAGGTTGCAATGGGAACGCTTGTATTCTTGTTCACGAATACTTTTGATGTATTGGCTCATAAAATTGTAACATTTGGCTGGTGCAGCTGAGTTCATGACTGAATATAGAATGATAAGGAAGCACAAGCAATTTTGCAAAGCAAAAAGTGGCATGCTTTCTAAAGGGCCCTTAAGGTAGTTCTTAACATCCTGGAAATCAGCAAGGAGGATGTAATCAGGCTTGTAGGTAAAGGCAGCAATGTTCTGCAAAAATCTTTTGGGGATAATATGTAAATTGAAGCAGTGGGGCTGTGTAACATTTACTTGGTTCTTGTTATACTTCCACAGACCTTGGCCAATCCAAATACTATACATCTTTGCCATGCTTTCCATTAGAATTAAATGAAAAGTAGTGGTTGTTTCTTTGGCCAGAGGCTAGGAAACCTGCTGTTTTTTTGGCAGATTACTTACATTTAAAGTATTGTTTTCCATTTCTGGCAAACTACTACCACTTTGGTCCCAGGTAGTACTTGTATTTCCTATGGATATTTATTTTTGGCTTCTGAGCAGGGGGTGGGAACCTAGACACTGAATGAGTTATGGTTCTGTCATCTAAAGAAACCACCTTGGGTTTCTTTGCCAAAACATTACTAAGACTCTTTCTGGTATGTATTATAACCTTTTCCTAGAAAATCCATACCTGCTGTCTGCTCACTCGTCCATTGTCTTCTTTTTCCTGGTGTGACAAAGGGGGAAACAAAAGCCTCGTTGCAAGGCTAATTGTTTTAATGCCCTTTGAAAAAGTCTGTCCTTTGCCAAATGGAAATCTGCTAATGGACTGTGAAGCACACAAAGTAGTCCTAAATCTCAGCATTGAGCTTGTTCGCCTGCTAGTTTATAGAAGGTTCAGAACAGAAGATTCAGTGCTAGTTTGCTTTTTAATTTGTTTAACTCCTTATTTCATATATATACTCTGTAAGTCAAATACTAAATATGTCTGTTAGACAAAAGCAAGAAGCTTATAGCAAAGCTTGTTAAAATGATTTCAAGTGCCATAATTATGTTGTATATTTTATTTCCATGATGAACATTATGTTCTTCAATGGTTGTTAGAAACAGGTCCCAAGTTTAGTCATATTGGAGTTAATGCAAAAGTTCAAATTTGTGATTCAGGGCCCTTCCGCACTGCCTCTATATCCCAGGATCTGATCCCAGATTATCTACTTTAAACTGGATTATATAAGTATCTACTACCAGAAAACCCAGGATAAGCAGATAATCTGGGATCAGATCCTGGGATATAGGAACAGTGTAGAAGGAGCCCCACACCAACAAATGCAGTTTTTGCTGATCTCCCCTCCACTGAAGCCTACAATATACCTCCTCAGTTGCCTGCTGGATTAAACAAACCTTACAGGGTTTATCAAAATGAGAGTATGAAAAGGAATCTGGTAGTACCTTTCAGACTGAAAGAAAGAAGTTGGTAGCATAAGCTTCCATAGATTTACTGTATATACTCATGTATGAGTCTAGAAATTTGAGTAAAAAACAACATCAACGCCCTCAGTTGATCTGTCCATGGGTTAATATAAATACTGAATTCTTATATAAAAAGGAGAGAAGAGTGGCAAAAGGCAAGAACTTCATCCATCCCAGGAAAACTTAAAAGAAACACTGAACTGTTATCTCCGCCATGGTGCCACCACTGGCCTTTTTGAACACCTGAATGAGAAAATGTTGGTATCCAGAGTGGCTTCCCCCTGAGGCAATGCTGTTGCTTTCCTTTCTCCACTGAATGGCCTTTGATTTATCCATGGGTCATATCAAAATCCATAATTTTAACCCCAATCTGCCCTCAATTTATACATGAGGTTGACCTATACAGATGTATATACGGTAAGTATACTTCATAAGATGCATGAATTCAAGTGTCGAGTAAGAGACCTTGATAGTACCAATAAGCAGGAATGTATAACAATTCAACTTAACACCTGAGGGATATTATTTTCAGCATGTCTTCAAATAAATGTGTTCAAGATCCTGGAAATATGTGTCTTCTCCTCTCCTTAAAGTACTGTAGCTTTTCAATTGATAATATATAATATATTGTTCAAGATACTCCTTTGAAGAAAGTGCTTTAGTTACCTTTGAAATAGAACCTCTTGGCCTGAAAACTCTTTCATATTGGACCCTGATAAATGAAATGATTCTTATTATTATTATTATTAACTTTATTTATACCCCGCTAAAATCTCCCAAAGGACTCGATGCGGCTTACAAAGGCCAAGGCCACCAACAAAACAACAGCATACGAATATAACAGTAAAACTCATAAAGCAAATAATAAGACATCAAGCAAAACAATAAAACACTAAAAACAATGACACCATGACACATTTAAAACCTAAAACCAAATGTAATGGACAAAATTTAAAAAGTGCTGGACATGACAGGTGAAATGTAGAGGTTTTTGGAGGTAGGTGCAATGTGCAGACAATCCTAAATCTCTAACAAAGTGCATTTGGGACATGATGCTGGGAATGTCTTATGTGTCTAAGAATATTTTTGATAAGCGTTTTAACCATGGTTTCTAGCTAAATAGTGTTTTTATCTGAAATCTGGAATTGGTTGAAATTATTTATCAGGCAGCTAATCTAAATATTGCTATATATAGTAATATTTGTTGTGGACAAGGACAGTTCACATGGGACAACACTGGCCTATGCTCTTCTCCCAGTTGGCTCACTTGGTGAACTAGTCTCTTTTAATCTTCGCGAAATCATATCGACATTGTCTTACCATGTTGGAGCTTGGAATGAATGTTACCATCATGGTTGTCCATGACACAAATAGTATTTGATCTCAAAGACAAACACTTGGCCTCAGAGCGCCCTGTATTTTGCTTTCCACCCTCCTTCCATCTGTATGTGAGGTTGTGTGTTTTGTTGAATTGTTGGTGAATTTGAAATGCTGATCGCTGTTTGAAAGTATGACTAGATCTAAAAATATTGTTCCACGGTTGGTAAAACAAGTGAAACTAAGCCCAGAGAGATTATACTACCTATGTAACCTTTTGCCCCAAGCAAAATATGTGAATTTCTATAGAACTATATGAATTTCTAAGCATTGTACAATGGTTATTGCAATTTTCCTTCCATTGAAAGATCTTCTAATTCCAACCCTCATGTTTGTAATTCCTTTTGATGACTTCACTGCAGACAATGCAAGAATGTCATTTTCTACAAGTAGAAAATAGAAGCATAATAGCTGTCCATGCAGTATATCAGATATTGGTGTTGCTTTCAGGCCATCTCTGTAGTAACAGTTGCCACTCTGTAATAGGCCTCAGTCAATCTGTGAAAACATTAAGCTGTTATCATTTCCTTTTCTTTGGGAAGTGCTTTGTAAAAATATTCTTGCTATCATTCTGTACACATTTAATATTTGCTGTTTTAACATCTACATTTTTTGTACATGCAGTTCATCTAAATTCAGAAGGATTGGAATTGACAGATATTATTTTGGTCCATCTGTATATGAAGAGCATGAAAGATTTTGCTGTGATAAATTCAGTCTATATGACAGCATTTGATTTGTGTCCCCCAGCAAGGTAGGCTCCTGCTCCCGCTATCTTATATTTATGATACACTGGAATATACTTCATTGCTATTACTGCTTTATTTATGACTTCTTTCAGTTTTGGTTTCTTTCTTTTAGCAAATACTGGGCTTCCTTTGACCTGTTTATATGTCTCTCTTCAAAGACATGATCTTTTACTCTGTGCATTTGCTCTAGTTCAAGAATGATATGGGACCATCTGCTTTTCAGATAAGGTCTTACAAGGTCTAAATACCGTCAGTGTACCAGACACTGTCTAATGTTGCAAGGTAACTAAGGTTAGTCCTGATTACTACTTGGTTGAGAGACCACCAATGAATACCAAGTATTATAGACCATATTTTAGAAGAAGGAACTTGTACAACCACCTCTGAATATTCCTTGACCTTTAAAAGCCCTCTGAAACCGATGGGGTCACCATAAGTCGACAGGTGACATGAACACACACTCATAAATATCCCAAGACCAACCTCACAGAAATGTACTGCCTTGCTTTGTGGGAAGTCCAATCCCTCAATATTTAACTTACTTCTCCAGAAACCTAACATCCCAGTTCATACTAACACAATTTACCAAATAGCTAGTGAACTTGTTGGTATCCCTTAGTAGCCAACCAGTGCTAAATACATTCAGAGAAAGGGCGGATGTTTATTTTTCCTATTTATTCGTACCTGGCTATGATCTGTAGTGAATACAACTAGATATAGAGGTCCTACTCGGACATTTGGAGTGGCTCTGACCAAATGTATCTAGTACTTTACAGATATATAACCAGCAGTGCCATATTTGCACTAACCCAGAAGTGGTGATATCACATCCGTTTTGCTTTTTAACTAATTTTGGACATGGAGTCAAAGTTAAGGAATAGGGAATAACAGCATTTTTTGCTGTTTTGTAACATGGCCATTTTTTAAAAAGTTAGAAAGAGGGACTCTGAACTTGGAGGGGTTGTAGTGGATACACATTTGCTATATCTATACTGTTTTTTTTTTTAAAACTAATCTATTTGCTAGTTAATTTTTTTTAAAGGAATGTGTACTTAGATTGTGGTTGCTTCCAAAGGCTTTGTTTGTCAAAATACACATCCATAATAAATCTTCCTTTGTTTTTCTGTGTATGAACTGCCACGATGTAGCAGTCTTTTTGTGACACAGGGAAGGCTTTAAAGATTACAGAGTGATATTAGGGAGTTTCTATTCATGAAATGAGGAAACATAAAATTCCACTGCTCACCTGTCCTCCCATGCAGTTCTTTATGTTGCAGCATCAAAGAAGGCATTTTTTCCAACCCTTTTCCATCTCTGCTGTATTTCAAAAGTGTTGTCCAATCTTCTACTTTTGGCTATACTCTCACTGCCAGTTGTAGTTGTATCTTATTGGATTGCTATATTGATGCTTAAGAATGTACGAGTATGTTGTTTCAAGGCTTTAAATAGTTACCTGTATGTAAGCCGCCTTGAGTCCCCTTTGGGATTGAGAAAGGCGGGGTATAAATAGGGTAAATAAATAGTAATAAAATTAAGAACGAATTTTGCGGAAGTATGCTTTCTCTTTCATTTTCTTAATTTGGAATCCTCTTAAAGGTATTTCATCTCTACTTCATAAAACAGTTAATGCACATAGTTAATGAAACAAGGTTCAACAATTAAAATCTTTTGAATATTGCATGAAACCTTTTATAAGAATCAAGCTCTTTAGGAATGTTTTGTCCTGTTGTGGGTTTTATTACTGATTCTAGTTAATACAATATATTTTTCCCTAGTTATTTATTGATTTACTGTGTTTTTACCCTGCTGTATCTCAACCCTGAAGGGGACTCAGAGCAGCTCCCAAATTGGCAATAATTCAATGCCACATTAACATAAAACAAACAAAATACAATATACATTGAGCATTAAAATCATAGAAATCATAAAACACTAATATATAAATACGTTAAATAAGCTGTTAAAACATTGCACATAGACCCAAAATCATAATCCAGAAGCCGTTCCAAATAAATTGCAGTCACTTTGTAGTTGCATGTAGCCCTGTACTACTCTTTCCAAATGCTTGGTATCATAGCCAGGTTTTAACTTGCTTTCTAAGTGATAGGAGGGAGGGGGCCGATCTAATTTCACTGGGAAGGGAGTTTCACAGCCAGACAAAGCCCTGTCCCTCACCCCCATCAGCCACACCTGTGAAGAAGATGGGACCAAGAGCAGGGCCTCCCAGCAGATCTTAGCGTCTGGGATGGTTCATGGGGGTGATGTATTTGGATAGGTAAGCTGGGCCATAACTGTTTAGGGCCTTCCAGGCTAAAGCCTGTACTTTGAATTGTGCTCGGTAGCAAATTGGCAGCCAGTGGAGCTGATGCAGCAGGAGAGTGGTATATTCCCTGTGTGCCATTCTGGTGAGCAGCCTCACTGCCGCCTGTTAGACTACTTGATGTTTCCAAACAGTCTTCAAAAGCAACGCCACGTATAGTAGTCTATTCAGGATGTAACAAGAGCGTGGACTACAGTGGCCAAGCCTGGCTTCTCAAGGTACGGGTGCAGCAGGTGCACAAGTTTTATTTGTGCAGAAGCTCCCCTAGCTACCGCCGAAACCCAGGATTCCAGGCTCAGTGATGAATCCAGGAGAACTCCCAGGCTGCAAACTATTAACTATAGTTAATAATAACCTTGATAGTAATTTGATCAATCTTGAACTGATTCTATTGAATATTTTTAAAAGATTAATACCTTTTACCAGAAAAACAATTTACATCCAGTTGTTGTGTGCCTACCAGAAAAACAATCTACATCTTCTTGTTGTGTGCCTTCAATTCTGTCCCAACTTACAATGATCCTATCACAGAAGTTTCTTGCTAAAATTCTTCAGTTGGGTTTTGGCTTGGTCTTCCTCTGAAGCCTGAGAGATTGTGAATTGCCCAAGGTTACCCTGTGAGGTTTCCTGGTGGAACGACAATTTAAACTCATGTCTCTAAAGTTGTAGTCCAGTGCTTGAACCACTATACCATATCGGCTATATTTACATGTCACCTTAGTATATAATCTGTTGAGAGGAAGTCCAGATATAATACAATTAAATCATGTGGAACGCAGTAAAAACTGTTGAAATGATATATACTTCGCTTGGAAATTTTATTTTTTTAACACGATAATCCCATAAATCCTGCAGGCTGAGTTGGCAGGAAGACTCGAGAGTTGGAATCCAAATTTTTTTGAAGTTCTGCACTAACTAGGCTGTGCCACTCCGAGTCTTTTTACTCAAGGTGCCCTGAAATATACTCAGTTAATCAACCCCACCCTGTCAAATATTTTTGCATAACATTTTAAAGGATTTTACAGGTTCATTCAAGCTCCCCAAAAGCTGGGAAATTCCAGACCTTATATCTTTAAGAGAAATGTTACTTAGGCATATGCATATAGTATGTTATCTTATGCTGTGGTTAATTTCATATTCAAACCCATCTTGTAACTGTTAGCTGTCACTGAGAAATTGGTGAACCTTATCATCTAATTTTTCATGGAAGTACATTGGTCTATAACTTTGAAGTTGCTAGTCTACTTTCTACAGGAAGTTGGACAGCATGTTGGAATTTGAGTCAACATAGAAAATAGTATACAAGATAATCTGGAATGTTTCTTCCCTTTTTGCTAACTGGTTACATTAGAGCAGTGGTTCTCAACCTGGGGTCCCCAGATGTTTTTGGCCTTCAACTCCCAGAAATCCTAACAGCTGGTAAACTGGCTGGGATTTCTGGGAGTTGTAGGCCAAAAACATCTGGGGACCCAAGGTTGAGAACCACTGCATTAGAGAATACTATGTCATTTGAAGACTATGCTGAGAGTGAACTGTGGAAATCTGAAGTGCTGTTCCTCCGTGGTGGATGTGTTACATTCTTTGTAACAATGAGGAAAGAAACAAACCAAACAAAACCTTGTCTAAAGATTTAGTAAGAAGAACATTGGGGTGTCGTGTGGTTCTTGCAGCATTTTCTCCTAACATTTTGCCTGCATCTGTGGCTGGCATCTTCCTGAAACATCAGGAGAAAATGCTGCTAGAAAACGACCATACAGCCCAGAAACCACACAACACCCCAGCGATTCTGGCCGGGAAAGCCTTCAAAAATACAAAAAGAACATTGCACACTAAAATAGCTCTTGAAATGGTAATAGCAAGTAACAGGGCTTTGCAAACCAGGTAAGAACTCCAAAAACTGGAAATACTTGTGTGCTTATTATTATTAGAGTCAGTAGAGAAATGTGTCCCAATTGTTCTATTTGTATATTTAAATTTCTCGTTTGTTACTTTTGAGTTGCTTTATAAACCACCTCAAGTCGCCTCCTGGCTGAGAGGGGCGGTATACAAGTATAGTAAATAGATAGATAGATAGATAGATAGATAGATAGATAGATAGATAGATAGATACCCAGCCATTAGTCTCACATAATTACCATAGCTCATAACAGTCAGACAATACAGCTAATAGCTTTGTTACTGAATTGTGTATAAATCAACAGGAGCACTACAATCCACAGAGGAGGTCCTCTTCTCGGTCCCACCCATGTCTCAAGCACGGCTGGTGGGAACAAGTGTGGGGGGAGGGCTTCTCCGTCATCCCTCCCTGTCTCTGGAACTCCCAAAATAATTGAAAACTGCCCCTTCCCTCCTTTCCTTTAATAAGCTGATAAAGACCCACCTATGTACTCAAGCGTATGGGGAGGAGGAGGATTTGTACTCTATTAAACTCTGACTCAGCTAACGGAGACTTACTTCAGCCCAGGCAGTATTATATGTTTTAAATGTTTTAATTGCTTATTATTATTAGAGTCATTAGAGAAATGTGTCCCAATTGTTATATTTGTATATTTAAATTTCCCGTTTGTTACTTTTGAGTTACTTTATAAGTATATCTTGATGTTGTTTATTTGATTATCCATGATTTGATATGTTTTGTTATGTTTTTCTTGGCATTGAAGATTTGGCAAAATAGCCACTTTTCCCCTTCCTTATGATTGGCGTTTCTTTTGCTTTCCCTCATTCGCAGAGACCCTCATCCAAGTATGGTTGAATATTGAAAGTGACTGAAACAGGCAAAGTGCTGGCCACCTGCCATCATTGGTCACATGATAAAAACCTCCCCAATAGGATATCTATTTCCAATTTCCCTGCTAAACCTCAATGCTCTGTTACTGTTGCTACTTTTTGTGGTCACTACCTGTCCATCTGATTTCCCAAGCATGCAAGCAAGGAAGCCAAAAGCAAGGCGAGACACTCCATCCTTCACTTGCCTTGTACACCCCTCTGCCATTTGCATGGATGAGGCCTAAAAGGAAATATAGTCCTCCACATTCACTGGGGGTTAGTCCCTTGTGAAAATTAAAAACAATGAATAAAGAAATCACTATTTTTTTACATCTCTAGGAATTTTTGGATAGTACAATTAAGAGAGGTCTTGTCTCTAGAAATTTCTAGGCCCCCAGCATGACTGGAGGAAGTTGACCCTAGAGCTGTACTGGAAGACCTAGAAATTTCTAGAGAGAACATTTTAAATGCAATCCATAAATAATGAAATGATGAAATCCACAAAAGTCCAAAAGGAGGATTAATGGAGAGAGGGTTCCCAATCAAAGCGTTTTCCTCAAGGGCACCCTAGAACATGTTTGTTTTTAAATTTAAGCGTGCCCAAAAAAGAAGAGAAAAATCAGATGTATGACCGGAGAAGGAGAAATAACCATGTATTTCTCCTGAAAATGTCACATATCCGAAAATCTGCCTTTTTCTGTGATTTCAGGGTATGCGTAGAAGCTCCTTTGCCTGAAGGAATGTTGTTTCAGATGGACTGCCTTATACATAAATATGGTGGGATGATCGGTGATATGCCCTGTTATCAAAAGCAAGTTATGCATGTCCAGAGCATTTCTCACTGGGCCCCTGCCAACATTGGACCTTACAGTCAGTGTATACAG